AGGGAAAGACATTCTGCGATTTCAGTTACATTTACAAATAATTCAGTAAAGCGGGACAGCTACAGCTTCATTCCCACTGCTCATAAAGTTTTTTTCAAAGCGCTACTTGCAATACATTTCTCCTCTATGCTCAGGGAGCGCATAGGGAATTTGTATATTTATAAATGTGTGTAAGTTATAGAAAAAATATCTTGCTGTGTAAGTCTGCGATCCTGAAGACAGGCACCTCAGATACTGTCATACTGGACTGGGGTCTTATTTTGTCCCATTGGTTGTAAGAGCCTTATTTTTTCGTTTTGATGGCTGGTATAACATCACACTTCCCATTTTGTCACTAAGGGCATGTGTAAACTACGGGGTTTTTTTCGAAAGAGGATATGCAAATTCTGCAGAATTTGCATGTTTTCTTCCAATCTCACTTTCACAAGAGGATCCGTGAAAGTAGTCTGGATGCAGTTTTTTCTGGGAAAAAACCCTTTAAAAAGAAACAAAACACGTAAACCTCCTTTTCTAAGGAACAGCAGTTTTTTTGAAAAAGGTTTTTTTTTTTCCGAAAAAACCTGTGTCCAGACTACTTTCACTTTCGAAAGAGCCTCTTTTGAAAGTGAGATTGGAAGAAGATATGCAAATGCCACATGAATTTGCATATTCTCTTTAAAAAAATGCTGCATAGTCTAGACATAGCCTAAGAATGCCAGCTTCACTTAGGGGGGAAGGGCACATTCCTTCTTTTCTATGAAGAACATAGTCTTTTGGGTAACAAAATGGGTGCGTTTTTACTGAAAGATAAAGTGCGTGCCAAAAGGGTTTGCATACCTTAGTGCACCACCAATGCTTGAGTCTATAACGTAATGTGCAACCTTGACTTTGGAATAGCTTTTTACCTTGCAGTGGTTATCTTGCATGCCGCCTGTACATAACCTTCATACACAGAGCAAATATGAAGCCCTGCTTCTCTTCTATGTGAAACCTAATGATGAACACAAGAGCTGCAGATGAGCAGAAAGTTACTCATCATTCCATACAGCTGATCATGTGCCGGTTTGTATTTAGAAATAGGTTTGCCATAATGAGAAAATTTTGCCGTAGGATTTCTACTTGGCCAATGCTCATTTTATTTTATTTCCAAAAAACACAGTAAGATCTAGGTAACTAACCAACCACACTTATCTATGTTCTTCCTGAACATGGGTAAATGTGCCTTTTCTCAAGTGAAGCTGGCCTTCCCATTGACAATTCTCCCTGCACTTAGAGGTGAAATGTGTTGCAAGTAGCCCTCCGAAGAACTCTATGAGCAATGGACATGAAGCTGAGGACATCCCTATATCATTGAATCATTTCTAAAGGCAACTCCACATGAAGAAGGTATTTTTCCAGGTTTTGGGATGAGTGTGTCCAGTTTTTTTGCACCCCAATACAGAGGCTAAGTGTAATCGTGTGCTTGCTGTTGCCTGCATATTGGGAGTATGGGGCCGGATCCAAAGCATGCTGAAATTTATAGAAAAACCTCTCATTTACCTGAATGTATTTTAAATCAAGCCCTCTCTGAGGCCAGCACTCCTACCATCAATGCTGTTTGAGAAAGGAAGAACAATGCCTTCATTGTACACTTGGAATCGAAGGATAGGTTCCGACCGCCGAATGCTTGGTGCAGTCACTGTACTCTGTCCCAGAGCGATAGCCCTGTTAGTCTGTAACTTTAAAAAGTCCTGTGGCACTTTTGAGATTAACATATATATATGTTAATGTGTGTGTGTGTGTGTGTATATATATATATATATATATATATATATATATATATATATATATATATATATATAGTATCATGAGCTTTCGTGCGTGAAGCCAAGTTCTTCAGATGAGCTGGAGTGGAAATAACAGACCCAAGATATTCGTAACAGGGGAGAAAAAAAAGTACCTGTCAATTATAGGGCCAGCGCTAATGAAGCTAATTAAGAGGGCTGAAAGTGTCCCACTCTTAGCTTTTGATGTAACAATGTAGTTGTTAGAGGCAGGGGAGATTGGCTTTATAATGCGACATCCTAAAATGCCTACTGTCAATGTACTGAATGTGGAGTGTTGCTGCTCCCGAGAGCCCACCCTCCTCTTGGTTGGGTCTGGGGAGGCTGAGGTTGCTCATCTGCCCACCTGCCTTCCCTGTGGTGTGTGTGGGGGTGGGAGCAAGGAGGTGGTTTGGCTCCTATGGGGGTGGGGCCTTGGCAGAAGGGGTGGGGCTGAGGGCTTACCTCCCCCGGTCCTACCTTCACTCACCACCCATGCTGGCAAGTGCCAGATTGGGGGATCTAACTGTTCCACTCCTGTTCTTGTGGCCTTGACAGCTGGGAAGCACACGGCCAGCTCACACCACCTTTCCGCCTTAGTCACCCCGGCTGGGAAATCCTACGAATGCCAAGCTCAGCAGACCATCTCCCTCACCACCAGCGACCACCAGAGAATGGTCATTCTCTTGCTGTCAGAAGTCCGCATTCAGCCCTTCGACATCAGCGCTGACTTTGTCTTCAGCGAAGGTAGGCGCCTGGGGCAAAATCACTTGGGGCATCCTCTCTGGCCTCGCCCTACATGGCTTGCACATCCCAGACTCCTAGGGGCCTCCATGGGAGTGGTGAGTGTACTAGCTATACAGAATCAAGCTTCTTATTGGGCCATGCAGCATGCTCCTTGCCTTCAAACTCCCCCGGGGAATTAGGCGCTGAGGCACTTTTGAAAATCCCAGTGTAGTGCAGACAGGCGGAATAGAACCTGGGACCTCTGGAGCTTTGTGCATGAGTGTCTACCACTTGAGCTAAAAGCCAATTGGCTCTTAGCTAAGGCTGTAGAAGAAACGCATTCTTGCTCTCCAGTGTAAGTGGTCTAGGTGCCAGTCGATGGAACAATGAACCACACCCAGTAGGTGCATGGGTTACACCAGCAGGTGGCTATCTGAATCACTAGCAGCCCAAATCCCCTTTCCAGTCTGGCCCTAGGCTGTCTGCTTTTTGTGGGGCAAATGACAACCAGTTGTGATTTGGCAAAGTTATCAAGGTGCTTTTTGCGTGTCCATAAGTTCTGTGATGCAGCTTCCAAATGGCCAGCCAGCATTCTATTGATTGGTCTGCATAAGGGAAGTCTGGGCCTTTCTAATGATTAGCAAAGCTGCATAGGTGACTCGTGGTTGTGCTCGGGGGGTGGGGAGATGCACCACTCCCCTCTGTGCTCACACCAAATTTCCTTTTGCTAAATGGGGTGCCCCTCATGCCCCCTCCCTGTTCCTCAGGATGGCTCTCCCTGCACCCCCCGTCCCTCACAGTGAAGGTGTGTGCAGGAGGTAGAGGTTCAAAATGTCTTTTCAGCACTTCTTCTCCAGGTCTGAAACTGGCTGTAGGCAGGATTGGTGGAGGAGGAGCAGCTGCATTGAGACTGGGTTATGAGGGGAGGTGAGGGGCAGAGGCTGTGGCAGCAGCAGGAGGAATGAAGGGCAGGGAGACCCAGGCTGCTACTTTTACCTGTCCAAGCTATTGCTGGCTCTTCATGCTCCATAGAGTTTGTTGCTTTCTCAGAAGCTGGGATGTAACCTATTGAGCATGAGTGGAGTTGCACATCACTGGCTGGGGACTATTGATACATTGGTCGATGGTCCAGAGAGCTGCATTTGTTATATGGTGTATTGTGAATAGAGCAAGAATCTGGACATGCAAAATGGTTTTGTGGTCAAGGCACTGGGTCAGGTCTCTGGAGATGCGGGGGGCGGGGGGGCAATTCTCAGTTCTGCTACCGATGTCCTGTGTAACCTTGATCAAGTCCTCCTGCCGTTTTTGATTCAGCCCCCTGGAGATGCTAACACTTCCCGATGCAGTCATGTTGCTGAGGTTCTCAGGAGCTATAGTGATAAATGTCGTAAAGCCATTAAAGAAAGAACGAACAGTCCTTATTCAGTGCAGTGTTTGGAGGGGGTGGAGCAAATGAGGCATGAAGCCCCACACTGAACAATGAAGAAAAAAGAAATGTTGAACGGTTGCTTTTTCCATTGCATGCCATCCATCTTGTGCACTGAATGAGGCGGGATCCTGCAGGAAAAGTAGTATAAGATCATGTAATTAGTCAGTTTCCTGTAATTCGCAGGCAGCTATAGGGGAAGAATCAAAGATGGGCGTCATCTTTAACTTTGTCATTTCCTCACTGTTTGGTACTTCATTCTTTTAATGTTATATTTTAAAAAATATAGAATAGGCAGAAGTTGCTTCTGTGTTTTGTAAGTTTTTTTTTTCAAATTTGCCAACTTTATGATAAAAAACGCCTCCAGTTTAACAGTAAATATTGCCAAAATAGTATTTTTTTCAACTTTTTTTTGTTCAGAATCTGCTTTTAGCACATTGTGCTGTGGCCTTTATTTATTAATTTATTTATGGCTTGCAAGTATGTTTGTACCTGAAATGCTTAGTTCAACACTCTTATGTGTATTAATACTTAAAGGGTAAAATCCTAGCGCCATTGAAGTCAATGGGGATTTTCCCATTGATGTCCATGCAACCAAGATTTCATCCAAGGTTTTTTTCGGTAGGATTTGATTCTGTTTTCTTATAACTCAGGCAAAACTCCCAGAGAACTGAATTCTGCTGTGTTATTTGGTGATCATCTGGCATCATGCCACTAACTGATTTAGAGTGATTCTGATTTTATACTAGGTTTTAATTTGGACCAAAGGTCATTTTGCCTGAGTTAGTTTTTTATTATCAGCCCTACAAATTCCAGCTTCACTGAGTTAATTAAATCTATTATTATTGCCTAAGCAAGATGAAATAAATAAAATGTGGAGTAGCCAGATCTGTTACTAACTAACCGATGATTAGAAAAGGGTGGTGCTACTTGTCAAACATAACATTTAAAATACTGATTTGTGTAATTCTACCTGGGGAAAATAGCTCACGGTAGTTCTACAAATACTGCAAACCACAGTGCTTATTACTACACCTACTATTCCCCCAAATTATGTAGCAAACATTTGATGTTCTAGGCACTGACTCAGCGGGAGCGCGATGGCTGCATACTCACAGTGAAGCTGGGAGTAAATTATGTAATTCTTCTATATAGGTTCAAATAACTCCTGTATACCATGACAAAGGAGCATGTACTCTGTATAGGTCACATATTTTACAGGAAAAATATTGTAGACATTTCGGAGAGATTTTCTGACACTTTTCAGATGCTATTTTTTTTATCCCTCCACCTACAAATCTAGGCTTCCTAGTACAATGGATACAACTCTACAGACCTTCAGGGTAAAGTTATAACTAAAATATGCACATTCTTATTAAAATTACCCAGTCTAGCTTTTCTGTCTGTGTATAATACCCGAGTTGTAAAGTCTGCCATCTCACAGCAGAACAGGCAAGCAAGTAGCACTTTACATCATTGACAAAGGGCCTTTCCTGATTTTCTCATGGCACAAAGCCTCTCTTTTAACCATAATGGGCTTTTGGAGATCATCATGTATATGTGTCACTTGTCCAAGACTTGACACCATTCAGGATAGATCTAGGGACACTATAATTACATGTGGGAATTTGAGGAAAAAGGGGATTATTTCTTTGGCAAGCTTGTGCGCGCACACGCATGCATGTGTGTGTGTGTGTGTTTTGAATGGTGGCTGTTGAATTAGTCCCAAAGGACACTAAATAGCAGGCAGCATACAGATGAGGTGAGCTGAGGTGGTCAGAGATGCCTGATAGATGTAAGTTACCACATTGCTCCACCATTTACCAAATGGTCTGCCATTCATCATGTGCATATCATTCCTACATATGTGGGATGTCTGTGTGTTCGGGGCATGTATGTAAATAAAAATTTTGCATTATTATTTGTTCAGCTTGGGATCTCCCGCTAGTCTTAAATTACAGTAATTAGCCTGCTCCTTTGCAGCTCATTAATTTCACATTTAGTAACATTTTTATTAATTAGGAACAAGCCACATAATGCTTTAAAATATATTAGACTTGAGAAAGAGATCTGCTAAATCTGAAAATACTTTTATCTGCAGGAGAACTGGTGCCTTTTTAAAACTGAGGTATTAGTATGAATTAAATATTGAGCACACTTGTCCTTATGGTATACAAATTGGCTTAAAAAAACCATCCCATAGAAGCTTACAGAGAATTGTAGCTTTTGTTAATTGTTAAACTAATCCAATAGAATGTCTCTTGCACTTTTGGTGCATATTTGTCTTTAAGCCCTTTCCCCCAACACTTTCAAACACTTTCATTACTTTATTTCTTTATTATACCCAACACTAGCAGTGGTTGAACACTTTTTGTTTGAAACTTTTTTGTGACAAAAATAACCTGTTTTGAAAATGGATTTTTCTGTTAAATATTCAGCTGAAAAAAAGAAGGGTGAGGACACCCAGAATTAACTCCCCCACAAGCAGCCAAAAATATTCAGTTTTTGTTTTTTACTGAAATAAAAATTGCCCAATTTTTGTGTGATTGTATGTATTGTTTCCAGGTAGATCTATTCAGCTTGTATTTGCCATATGGCCTTCTACTTCCCTATTCCTGTTCTAACTAACTCTTAGTACTTTCCTACACACAAAAAATAATGATTTAATAATACTGGTAGGCTGTGTCTAGACTGACAAGTTTTTCCGCAAAAGCAGCTGCTTTTGTAGAAAAACTTGCCAGCTGTCTACACTGGCCGCTTGAATTTCCACAAGAACACTGACTTCCTACTGTCTGAAATCAGTGCTTCTTGTGAAAATACTATGCTGCTCCCGTTCGGGCAAAAGTCCCTTTTGCGCAAAGCTTTTGCGCAAAAGAGCCAATGTAGACAGTTCAGATTTGTTTTGCGCAAAAAAGCCCCGATTGCGAAAATGGCGATCAGGGCTTTTTTTGTGCAAAAGCGCGTCTAGATCAGCACGGACGCTTTTCCGCAAAAAGTGCTTTTGCGGAAAAGCGTCCATGCCAATCTAGACGCTCTTTTCTGCAAATGCTTTTAACGGAAAACTTTTCAACATTTGCGGAAAATCATGCCAGTCTAGACGTAGCCGTATAGTTGAAGTAGTACAGCCTCTTAGCATGGACACTATTATAGAGGCCTAAATGTGCTTACACTGTACAACTTATTCCTTATAAAGGAAGGGGAAACAAACAAACAAAAAAACCAGTAATCCTGTAAAGAAGACACGTACTTATGCAGCAAAAAGGAGGTTGGAACTGGGGTGGAATAGGAATTAGGGGAGGGACTAGGAATAGGGAGGCTGCGAATTAGTGGAACCACAGAGATATGTACCTCTGCAAGAGTCAGATTTTTCAAGCCTGCTCAGTTCTTTTCAAAATCTAGCCACGTGTGAACACTGAATATTTCTGCACATCTGGCCCACCACGGCAAATCCCAAGTCAATGGGAATCTTTTCATCAGCGTTGACTATGATCCCATATTTTGCTGGTTCTGGCCAAAATTTCTGGTAGGGAAATTGTTTTTTAATCTAATTAATGTCTGTTCTAATGTGGAAGGTTGAAGAAGAAAACAAACGCTT